GTAACACAATAGATTCGCTAATTAACGAAATTTCGCTCTGCAGTTCGTGGGAACATAGTCAATTTATTTTGGTCAACTTGAGTTTTCCACAGAGTTAATTTTTCATTTAAAGCCATAWGTTTGTCAGATGATGTTAGGATATTCTCGTTACGACCTTGCATGCTTGTATTTAATTTATTCAAAAGTTCAAAAATATCAGTTAAAAAAGAAACTTTTATCCACCACTTTTCATCTCCAAGAAACTCGTATTTCGATTCTTCTATTGTTAAAAATACAATTATTTCTTCACTCAAATCATAAAAACGGGATAATACCCGGCCTCTTGATAACCATCTTATTGCACTGTGATAAAGTAATTTTGAGTTATCTGAATCCATACCTTCACAAATTTTTTCAAACAACCTTGACTTTAGTGGACTACTTTTAATATAATTTATCACTTTTACAACTTGATCCAAAACTTCCTTTAAATCACCTACCAATGTATTTGTTACAAGGGTTTCTCTATGTAGAAAATAATGAGTAAAAATAATATTTTCATTTTTTTTTTTTTTGCAAAAGAAATAAAACCTTTGACTRAGCCAGTCTTAGCGGGAGCTCCGTCGGTACATACTCCAATGCATTTATTCCATGGTAAATTGGCAAATTTCAGATAATGGTCCACGATTTCGAAAATATCTTCACCTTTAGTTGTCTCAGGAAGTGTTTTACAACATAAAAAATTTTCCACAATGTCTTCATTGGTAACTATGCGTATAAATACCAAAAGTTGTGCTTGTCCGCTTATGTCCGTTAACTCGTCTAGTTGTAATGCAAATAATGGAGAGTCACGGGATTATTGTAATACTTGTTCTTTAATATCTTCAGACATGTGTTCTATACGTCTACTAATGGTGTTGTCAGATATAGGAATTTTTAATACTTCTTTTTCAGCTTCTTCACTAAAAAGTACTTTTACGATTTCACGGCAAGCAGGTAAAATAAGTTTTTCTGCTATAGTGTGTGGTTTCATTTGTTTAGCTACAAGCTCTGCTACTAGATAACTAGCTTCTTGAGTTTTATCAGAAATGGTCACTATTTTTGTCATTTTTTCAGATTGTCGTGTTTGTGATTTCAGTAAACGTTGAAAATATGAAGCATTTTTATCAACCAAATGAGAATGCTTAGTGGAAAAATGACGTTTTAGTTTACTCGGAACCATTGATTCATTTGATAGTTTTTCGCCACATACAAGACACCATGGACGAGGATCGTCTACATTTCTGGACCAAGAAAATCCTATGTTTAAATAATCTTCATGATATTGACGTCTGATATTTAATTTAATTTTTTTCTTTGGTTGTTCACTCACTGAAGTGCTGTCAGTTGAACGAATTATAAATGCATCCATTATAAAAAAAAATTAAGTATTATTTAAAATATACCAAGTAGGATAAAAGTCATTAAAAACAATAAAAACACAATATTCCGCGACGCGACGTATAACGATTGGGATGGCTGCGACGGGCAAACTAATATTACGTATCTACGATTAATGATTAGCCTGTCTTTATATTTGATTGTTATAAGTTTTCATTGAATATCGCAGAGGACCTAGGCTTCGAATTGGCACTGTTGTACTCCTGCGTGAGGATAATCTTCCCCCTTTGCGCTGGAAAATAGGATGAGCTGAAGAAGTGCAAGTCAGAAATGACGGAGTCATTTGTGTGGCAACCATTTCAACCTCAAGTGGTCAATTCAAACAAGCAGTCCGATTATTATGTCCTTTGCCCTTTGAAGGCAATCATATAAAATATTATTATTATTATTATTATTTTTTGTATTTATTTATATTTGTGATCTGCTATTGAATAGCAAAAATTGTATAATTATTTATTATTGTAATTATTGAAATATTTTAAATTATTATTTCAAGGTGGGTGGTATGTTAGGTAGGTACCTATAACATCACTGTAATAAATTGTACTATCTCGACTTTCACGACCGGCGATAACATTTATTCGCCTGTCGATCGTAACGACAATAATGTTTTTGCTGATCAGTTGTCAATTGTCATTCGTAGTCTCTTGAACGTTGTACTACCGTCCACCGAAGATCATTATTGTGTATAATATAATAGAACACTAACCAACTTAAAATAAAAGTATACAGTCCACTTTAAATATCGAACTAAGACATTTGTTCTTGCTTAAAACACCTAAAATTTAAATTTAAAAATCCAGTTAGTATGTTTTTTAAATTATTGTAATAGATAAATAATTAAATATCTTTGATATTAATTTAAACTCTGTAGACATTAATTGTATATAAAATAGTTTATACCATTTATCATTTATAGAAAAAAAAGTTATGATCTATTCAAATTTAGCTATACTAAATACTAGACTAGATATTATAATAATAAGTAACTAGGCATTCAAGTCCNTTATGTCCGTTAACTCGTCTAGTTGTAATGCAAATAATGGAGAGTCACGGGATTATTGTAATACTTGTTCTTTAATATCTTCAGACATGTGTTCTATACGTCTACTAATGGTGTTGTCAGATATAGGAATTTTTAATACTTCTTTTTCAGCTTCTTCACTAAAAAGTACTTTTACGATTTCACGGCAAGCAGGTAAAATAAGTTTTTCTGCTATAGTGTGTGGTTTCATTTGTTTGGCTACAAGCTCTGCTACTAGATAACTAGCTTCTTGAGTTTTATCAGAAATGGTCACTATTTTTGTCATTTTTTCAGATTGTCGTGTTTGTGATTTCAGTAAACGTTGAAAATATGAAGCATTTTTATCAACCAAATGAGAATGCTTAGTGGAAAAATGACGTTTTAGTTTACTCGGAACCATTGATTCATTTGATAGTTTTTCGCCACATACAAGACACCATGGACGAGGATCGTCTACATTTCTGGACCAAGAAAATCCTATGTTTAAATAATCTTCATGATATTGACGTCTGATATTTAATTAAATTTTTTTCTTTGGTTGTTCACTCACTGAAGTGCTGTCAGTTGAACGAATTATAAATGCATCCATTATAAAAAAAAATTAAGTACTATTTAAAATATACCAAGTAGGATAAAAGTCATTAAAAACAATAAAAACACAATATTCCGCGACGCGACGTATAACGATTGGGATGGCTGCGACGGGCAAACTAATATTACGTATCTACGATTAATGATTAGCCTGTCTTTATATTTGATTCGAATTGGCACTGTTGTACTCCTGCGTGAGGATAATCTTCCCCCTTTGCGCTGGAAAATAGGACGAGCTGAAGAAGTGCAAGTCAGAAATGACGGAGTCATTTGTGTGGCAACCATTTCAACCTCAAGTGGTCAATTCAAACAAGCAGTCCGATTATGGAACACTAACCAACTTAAAATAAAAGTATACAGTCCACTTTAAATATCGAACAAAGACATTTGTTCTTGCTTAAAACACCTAAAATTTAAATTTAAAAATCCAGTTAGTATGTGGTTAAAGTACCTACTTCTGTCAATAATTGTCAAACCTTTACTAAATTGAATTTTTATACTTGTAATTTAAATGTTAGATTCTTACCTAGCTTCATCACACATTATACCAAAAACTTTAGTGTCTTCAATTTCTTTTATAATTTTATGTCTTATGTTTTCAGCACATAAATTAGCCAACTCATCTTGCACAGCATGACTAGTGTAATTGGTAGTATTTTGAAACTTTTCTGCAAATTCTGGATAATGTTTTGCAATCAAACTGCAAATTTCTTTAAAATTTCCTGTAACAAGAATATATTATATCTATAGATAGTGAAAAATGTATCTGGTATTTTAAATGTTATAATATTATGTTATAATAATGATAATCTAATAACGTAAAAATACCTGGTGTATTGACACAATTATTCTAAAAAATAAAAATATTAGAAGGTACCTTGATTTAGTGAGAGTTTTGATTCTTCATGTCCTCTAAAAGCTAATCCTTGGCAGCTCAAAAATAATGTTGTATCAACAAGAGTTTTAATATATTGGAAATTTTTTTCTACAAGAAGCTTGTGGCTTTATGCTACTTGAGAGTGGACACTTCCTGTTGTTATAGTTGAAATATAAGCTTCCCATTTGGCCATGCAAGTTAAATGCTGTTTACTAGTGGAATGTCCGTCCAGTTTACTCTGTTTATTTCCTTTTTTTCCTCTTGACCCGGATAACTAAATACAGTAAACATTTTTAAATATGATAAAAATTAAAAATAATTTAAACATAATTGAAAAAATACTTGCCTTTTTCCAGTTGTTGAATCCAATACTCGTAAACGTAGAATCATTATTATCACTTGCTATGCTAAAATTGCGACAGAAAAAACAGTAAATAGCATCATGTTTTAAACTATATTCTAGCCAACTAAAGCTTGAATAATATACGGAATTAAAACCACGGTTTTGTTTCCCAAAAACAGTTTTTGGATACGACTATAGTACAAAATACATCAATTATAGTTATAAATATAAAATAAACTCTAAACATTTAAAAAAAATTTGGTTTTATACTTGCCTCAAGTACTGGATGAGCTGGACCAGTCAGTAAAGTTCCTAGATCACAAGTCTCAGGTTCAGGTACTTTTATAGATTCAACTGTAGCAATACTACCTTGACTACTACTTAAAATGTCGTCTGGGTCAGTATCGTCTATGACATTAGTATAAACCGAGACCACAGAAGACGACAAAGGCGGTTTTAGATTCTGAACGAAGTGACGAATGTATTGATTTTACAATGATGTGTGTTTTTTAGATTCCGAATGAAGTGATGAATGTATTGATTTTACAATGATGTGTGTGTTTTTTTTTGTGACTGTGTACAGAATAACTAGTCGAAATAATGCTTCGATTTCCAACTTTGGGGGTGGTTTCTGAATATCCTTGGTGCATTATAGAGGTCAAAAGTAAACATTTTCCAACAGTTTTCAAAAAAATCAAGAAAAACAAAAAAAAAAAAATGACAGAAAAACGGGAATTTTTACGCAAAACCAGTTTTCGACCAAATCAATTTTTTTATATGGTTGTAATTCAAAAACTAATCACCTTAAATACTTGAAATTTTCACCAAAAGTTTATGTTTGTGATATCTATATACAGTTTAATTTTCAAAAAATTTTGACTTTTTTTGAGTTATTTATAGACCACTGAAATTTTCGATTTTTTGAAGTGTCGGTAAAAAAATGTTGGATGACCAAAAAAATTTGAAAATATAATACAAAAGTCACAATTTTTTTTTTATAAGCGTTTATAGTTCAAATTTTTACGAAATCTGTCGAAAACGCTAATATTTGCAAGTAATTTTGAAGTTGAAAAATCATAAAATTTTTTGTGTTTATAACTAAGGATTAAAAATACAACACTTAAGTATTCCATAAGTTTTCCTTCAAATAGCTATACAGAAAACTCGAAGCGTCATTATAGGAAAAAATTTTAGTGCGTTTGAATTTTAAATTTTTACGAAATAGTTTGTAACGGTTATCGTTACAACCATTTATCCTCAAACGATTTTAAATATTTGTTATTATTCAAAAAGTATAAGTCGTAGATACTCGAAAATTTCACCAGTTATTTAGATTGTCATTTTCTTTACACGATTTAATTTTCGAAATATTTAGACTTTTTTTTAGGTATTTATAGACAACTGAAATTTTCAATTTTTTTGAAGTTTCGATAAAATTTTTTTGGCCTAATAAAAATACTTGAAAATTTAATACAAAGTTCCTCATAAGTTATTCTTATAGTTATTAAAAAATTATAAGACATACGCACAATTTTTTTCTGTTAGCATTTGAAGTTCAAATATTGACTTAAAACGTAAAAATTACAGCAATGTTCATATTATCTTAGATAGAAATTCATAACAGTTTTTCTTTTTAAATCTAAGATTTTAAAATTAAATACAAAGCTTCTAACACATTGTAACAATAGCAGTTGAAAAATATTAATAATATATAGCCACAATTTTTTTTATATAAGCATTCAAATTTTAATTTTGTAAAAACCTTCATGATTATAGTTAAATATTATTACATATTATAACCTAACCTAACCGTTTATACGAAACAGGGACGACGCGACGCAAACGACTGCTGATAAACAACCAATGCGGGTGTAATTGTTTATTATTAATATTACATTAATTACGATCGTTCCAAGTTATGACAATAATAGTTCGTAAAATTTTACAAATTTAATTTAATTATTATCATAGAATATTTTTTTATAATTTTATTTTGTAATTCAGATATTAAAAATGCATTTCTTAATTATACGAATTATTATATATTTTTATATATTTAGTCACATTAAAATTGTGAGGGCCAGGGGGGCTAAGACCTGTACTTTAAAATTCTGAGGGGGCTTTGTCCCTCTAGCC